AAGAAGAAAAGGACTTAATATAACTAACAAAGAAATGCATTCATGTATTCTTCTAGGTTTTCCTGACAAACCCATGACAATTTGTTATCCGTTATTGTTGTGTGGCAAGGGAGGGTCAGTGTGACAGATGAAAGGTCCTCATCCCCTTCCCTTGATGCTATCAGGAGAGCATGCAAACATTTGTGAGCAGCTCTGCAAATATTTACTGAAATCCTTCTTTGTTTCAAGGAGGGATTATAACCATATGGAGCTTAAATCTTTGCAATAAATGAGAAACCTTGATTTATGACCCATGTAATACTTAAAAGAGTTAGAATACTAAAAATATTGCCTAAAATTATTTTATACCTAAGGAGATAAGGACACACATATAAATGGGTATATTTTACTCTACCACTCTGACATTAGTGTCAACTTTTTATTATTTTTTAATTAAGATAAAATTGACATTACATTGTGAGCATTTAAGACATATGACATAATGATTTGGTACATTTATATTGTAACATGATTGCCGTTGTAGAGTTAGCTAACACATCTATTGAGACATAGGTTTATTATTTATCTAGTGATGGGAGCAGTTAAGATCTGGGCTCTGAACAAGTTCAAGGTTTTAGTACAGTTTTGTTGTCTATAATCTTTGTATTGTACAGGATTTATTTGTTTACTAGTTGCAAGTGTGCTCTTACACATCTCTTCAGTGCTCCCACCTCTAGGCTTTGGTAACCACTGTTCCTTGTTTTTTCTATTTCTAGGTTTTTTTGTTTTTAGATTACACAGACAGACAAATTGGCAAACAGAACTATAAAATAGAAGTGCCCTATACTATAAAGTAGAAGAGGGATATCATACAGTATTTGACTTTATTTTATCTCATTTAACATAATGGTCCATCCATGGTCCATCCATGGTGTCACAAATGGCAGGAGTTCCTTTTTTCTCATGTCTGAACGTTATTACATCATATGTAATACCATATCTTCTTTAGCCAATCATCTGTTGATGTACACGTAGATTGTTTCCATCTCTTGGCTATTGTGAACAGTACTATAATAAACATGGGAGTGTATGAAAAAAATAACTATCACTATGTAACAAACAACTGCAGAATGTCCATGGCATAAAACAATAAGCATTATTTCATGCATCCACAGGTCACTTGAGGTGTTGATCTGTTGATCTTAGTTTGCCATACCCTGTATATAGTCTGGTTGGTTGGGATACCAGGGCACTTCTACTTTATAGTTCTGTTTGCCAATTTGTCTGTCTGTTCTATGTTTTTCATCCTTCTTAGACCACTGGTTTATCCAGGATATATCCTCATAGTGATGGCAGAGGTACAAGAAAATAGCCTCCCTCCCAGTCCATTTTAAGGATCTGTTTATGTTGTAACTGCTAGCATCCCGTTGTTCAAAGCAATGGCAAAGCTCATTGGCTAATCCCCAGAACAAGTGATTTTCCACAGGGATCAAGGAAAACAAAGTGAATATTTGAGAACAATAATCTAATATGCCAATGTTTTACTATTTACAACCATACTGTGGTGAGCAGTCTTCCAGAAGTCTCCTGATACATAATTTCAAGAAATTATTTTCAATTGTATTTTTTAAGTGGTCAGTGAATTTTATTTAATTTTAAAAGATTTTTTTATTATTTTATTTTATATAATTCTTACATCATTTTTCATTTTTGCACAATGTATGCATTTTCATTTTGGTTATATATTCCCGTACAATTCCCACCTCCCTTATTTTGACTCTTATCCCCTCTTTTCCTCCCCTCCACCCTAGTAGTGTGTCTCTGATCTATAGTTGCTTGTTGATTGTAATTTTTTCTTTATTATAATTAGTCTTTTTCCTGGTCCCTTATTTAGGTTTTTCTAAATTCCTGCTATGAGTGAGACCATCTGGAATTTTTCTCTATCTTTCTGTCTTATTTCGCTGAGCATGATCCCTTTCAGGTCCATCCATGTTGCTGCAAATTGCACGAGTTTATCTTTTTTGATTGCTGAGTTATATTCCATCGTGTATATATACCACATCTTCTTGATCCAGTCATCTATTTTTGGGCATTTGTGTTGTTTCCATAGTTTAGCTATTGTAAATAGTTCTGCTATAAACATAGGGGTGCAGGTGCCCTTTTCAGTTAATGTTTCTGTGTCATTTGGGTAAATACCTAGGAGTGGAATTGCTGGATTATATGGAAACTCTGTCTTTAGTAGAGCTTTCCATAGTAGTTGGACCATTTTGCACTCCCACCAGCAGTGCAGGAGAGTTCCTTTTTGCTCCACATCCTTGCCAACATTTGTTGTTAACTGAAACTGGACTTGCTGACCCATAGGATACATCCCTTTCAAATTTGCTAGACATTGCCAAATTGATTTCCCATAGTTAAAATTATTTGCATTCTATCCAAGAATGTATGAAAGCTTCCACTCTTTGTTCCTGCCAATATTTGGTATCATCAGCTTAAGTTTTTAGCAGATGGATGGGAATGAATTATTGTATCTTTATGATTTTTGCTTTGCATTCATTAGCAACTATTGAGACTTATTGTCTCTGCTACTTTGACTATTCACATTGCCATTTCTATGAGTTGCCTGTTTATCTGCTGTGTGTATTTTTCTGTTTTATTTCTTTTTGACTAGTATTTTATATATTCTATATTGAAATGTAATGGAGAGAAATTGTTATTGTCTCCCAATCTGTGATCTGTCTTTAATCTTTGTTTATAGTAATTTTTAATTTACGGAAGTTGCCAGTGTTAATGTTTTAAAATGTATCAGTCTTATCTATGATGATTTGTACTGTTTCTTTTTGACTGCTTTATTGAGGTATAATTAACATAGAATAAATAGGACATATTTAAAGTGTTTGATAAGCTTGATTTACCTGTAACTGCATGTTAATGAAACCACCACCAATCAACATAATGAACATATTCATCACCCCCAAAAGTTTCTTCACACTACTTGTAATGCCTCCTTCCCACTTAGTTCTACCTCCCAAGTCCTAGGCAACCATTGGCCTGCCTTCTGTCTTCCATATCCTTTCTGATTTTTCTACTTTCTGTAGCATTTGTTGAAAGAAGGGCATTAATCTCTGACTTTGTGGACTTGTCTATACATCCTTTCAGTTCTGGCAATTTAGCTTCATATATTTTGAAACTCTCTTACTAGGTGCTTACACATTTAAGATTAGTCTACCTTCTTGGTGAATGGAACCCCTTCTTTATTGTTGCTAAAGTATTTTGATCTAAAGTCTACATAGTCTGATGTTTGTTACCACTCTTTCTTTTGATTTAGTTCTTCATGATACATCTTTTTCTGTCCTATTAGTTTGAACCTGTCTATGTTATTATATTTAAAATAGGTTCCTTACAAAGCAAAGGAAAAAACAAAACCAAGCCACAATGATCCCTAGATTTTAGATAAGGAGATAGATTTTAAACTGTGTAACCAAATGTGTAGAAACATAAATGTAAAGAATTTCCTCTGGGAACAGCAGTAATCTAATCATTGTTATAATATGGGCATAATGAGATAAGGGCCTGAACTAACATAAATATATTAAGAACTGAAAGAAAAGAACTAAGGAATTAAGCACGAAAAATTAAGTATAATTGGAAATGATTATTCTAAAAATTCCACAGTGCCCCCTAATTGTGTGCTCCCTTGGTGTTAATTATCATATACATATGTCTTTCTAACTAAATTGTGACTACTCAATATAGGAGATATAGGGCCTCCCTGGTGGCGCAGCGGTTGAGTGCTGGGTTGCGAAGCTGCCTGCAGCCTCTGCAGCGCCAATTCGATCCCAGCTGCTCCCCGGCCACTGGAGGAGGGTCCCACATGGCACGCAGCCCTTTCCTGCCGCCCGCTGCTCCCCTCTGCAGTGTACTTCAGTCCTTCTGCCTGCTCTGCTCCCCGCTCTGGCTCTGGTGAATTCTCTCACCCTCCCATGCTTCTGTCTGTACCCAGTGCTTGTATAAATAAATAAATAAATCTTTAAAAAAAGAAAGATATTGTTAAAAAAACGATAGGAGATATACTTACTGTTTTTTTAAAAAAAAAGATTTATTTATTTATGCATACAAGAACTTGGGTACAGGCCAGAGGTATGGGGGTGAGAGGGTTCACCAGAGACGGGGTGGGAAGAAGAACAGGCAGATTGAAATACACTGCTGATGGGAACAGCAGGCGAATCAGGAAAGGTCTGCTGCACCATGTGGGTAGCTCCTTGGCCAGGGTTTGAACCTGTGGTGCAGCGGCTGCAGTCAGCTTCATAGGTTGTGTCTTAACCTCTTGTGCCACCAGGGAGGCCTAGGATATACTTTTTCTTTATAGATATTTATTGACCAAGTACTGTTCCAAGTTTTGGGATAAAGCAATAGTCAAAGACAAAAAAATTCTCTGCCCTCAAGAGCACTTAACATGTTTACTTATATAGTGCCTTAGAATTCAGTGCTAGCTATTCTCAAGGAAATGTTTATTATTTAACCCAACTTTAAAAGATAATGTTAATTAAGATGGTCTTTTAGGTGTATTGTAAAATTTATTTTTGTATTTAACTCCCCTCTTTTTAACTTGACACAAAATATTACTATATGCTTTACAATTAAACTATATCCCTCACTTTATTTATAGAGATAATGCAGCACCTTGATGTTAATGAAAAGGGTGCCATCCTGTGAAGGGTGCAGAGCTCTAATTTGACTCTACTGTTAAAGCTTTGCACATGAACTTACCCTCTTTATCCTCCCAGAGACTGACTTTTATACGTAAGCTAAAAGCTAGGTATCCTTTAGCACTGACACTTTGGGTTTGAAAATGGGACAGTTTTAATTCCTATGGCCTGAGGATAATATTGTAGCTAAGCCATCTAGTATATTTGATTGAATGATTGCGGGGGGTGGGGGGGGCCTGATGAGTGAGAGCTGTCATTGTATATGTTTCACTTGAATTATAATCAGTGACTATGTATTTTTTCTTTCTTTTACAGAATTGGGCCTGGATCAGTATATAATAAAACGCTTTGATGGAAAGGTGAGGAAAACAGTGACACTTAGCATATATATTCTGTTGGTTACTTAGAAGATTTTAAAGTTCCTCTAGAATTACATGTGAGAAATTTCTGACTGCCTCTTTATCTAATGGAAAAAGCATGTTGCTTAGTTTGGGATATCTACAAGTACCTTCAGATGCTTCTATAGAAGGAAACAAGCAGGTATTTCTGTATTTTTTCATGTAAGGTACAATCATTGGTTGCCTAATATATATATGAAGGGCTCATTCAATGTATGTTAGCATTTGAATTTTATGTTAGCCATTCATAATGGTTAACAAGCCCCAAGTATTATCTTTGCATTTCTTATAAAACCACCTATCTGATTTGACCTTCCTCAAACTTTATAGTACATATTATTAATCAAAATTAGAAAATTACAGAAGTGCTTGCTAGTATTTTATTTTGAAGTCCACACCAAATTTGCAATTCTTTATACCTGGGTGACTCATAAAATAAATCATTCTTAAGTATAGAAAATGAAACTTTCGATTTCATTATCTCATAAAGCAGTCAGTTGAACATGTTTTTCCCTTTCAGGTTGAATACTTCGAAAGGAAAAAGAAAATATTACACAGGGCCAGAAAGAAAAGTATAAGTTCAATTTTAATGAGGAGGAAGAAAGTTCAGCGTAAAGAAGGAAGAGCCAGGAATCGCTCTCTAAAGCTTAAAGAGAATGAAATCAGAATGAAAGTCATGGAGTGGCTGGAAAAGGCAGGAACACAAAAGAATGGCTTTTAAATGGGTAGTGGTCAGGGTTAGTAGAAAGTGATGTTGCAGAATGTATCAGTCCTGCATCATGACATAAATCTCCTTATATTGGTAAGGTGAGGTCATAAGTGCTAACATATTTTTGCACAAGTGGGAAGAGTGAATGGACTCAAGATTTGAGAACTCTCAGCCAAGGCTACCTATGTAAAAATAACCTTTCCCAATTCAGGTGGCATAGTGCATTCACCTGGAGTATCTTAATTTTAAAGCCATATGCTTTAAGAGAAAGAAAGGGCATTGAATTAGATGTTAGGAGACCTAGGTTCAGAGTTCTAGCTCTGTTTTTGGAATAGCCACACCTTCTGTCCTATCCTTGGTATCTCTGGTTTATGTATGTTTAAAGTATCATATCCTTGTGAAGGGTTACTTCAGACATTGATGCCAGGGTCTGATTTCAGGTCAGTCTTTAGCAGGTCAGGCCCTCTCTTTGTGTCACTCAGAATCCAACATAAGCCTGGCACACAGGAGGTGACCAGGAAATGCTTAATGACTTGGAAAAAATCAATTAGTCAATCACATATTCTTTGGACAGGACTCACTAAAACCAGTAATATCAAATAGCAAAATCAGTTTAACAAACCATTTTTTTTGTTCACTGATGGAATCTAGGATAGTATGAAAATTCCTCTATTGTACATATGTAAACCTGAAAACATGTAATAAAGTTGAATGTGTGTAGCTTGAGCATCACATGTACATGTTATTAGGGGAATTTCCATTCCTAGAGCTATCCCAAATATAAAAATCTTTAATGGTAACCACTATATATATATAAAGAGCATACATGTTCTTTTGTTTTGATTAGCAACTATCCACTTACTGCTAAAAATGTGCAGCTTTTGGCACAACTAATGAGCCCCACCATTGTTTCAATTATTTTAAATTTATGAATTCTACATCTCTTAGCATTAGTGTCATTTGCATTTTCTGATTTCCTCTTATGTTTATAAAATAATGAGTAAAATACAATAAAAACAAAGTATTTGAGTATCTACTTTGCTATGGAGACAAAAATGACAGTGCTTTTGTCTTTGGAAGGCAGACTGAACAGACTATAGTTGCAAATGTTTGTGCACTGAGCCATAAAATTCTGAAATTGAAGTAGGTAAGGCAAGACTTAGGGAAATCAGTGTATAGTGTTTGAAAGTATGACTTGTATGAAAGTCAGGTATATGAAAGTTTACTTCATGTACTGAGGGAACAGGTTCTGAAAGAGAATAAGGGAATGATACTCTTACGTGAAGGCAAGTAGAATTTAAATCACTGAGCTGCACCAGCTAGCTTGTTCCCTAGCAAAGAATACACAGATTTTTGATGTAATCTCTTTTCTAAAAACTTCAAAGTTCATAAGCTACTTTAAAGTAGCAGCGAATTTCCTGTTGAAGCTAATTGTCCATCATTGTTAATCTACCTAATGTGTTTGTTTTCAGAAAATAGATTTTTTAATTCTTTCCTCCCTATCAGGTTCCCTTTTCCCCTACTCATACCTACACATTGAGTTTTTTTCATTATTTATAAATACATCTCCTAGAGTATAAATACATCCAATTTGGATGACAGAATTAACATGTATTTATTTCTGTTTCCTTTATGTTACTTACAAGAATGTAGGTAATAATTCATAATGCAGTGCTCTTAGTGCTCTGAGTTGTGGTTATTTACTTATATCATGGAAAAATATGAATTTGGAATAAGGTGAAGTATAGTAGTAGTACTCGTTGACATGTGTAGTAAGTTATATGAGGGATTACCTATCTTCTAAGAGCAAAATGTACTACATGCACTACAGATCAAGAAAATGTAAATTAGGAGAGGGGCGGATAGAAATCCTATTGAGGTGCTGATTCAACATTTCAGAAAACCCCTTGACACCTGTTGCAATTTTCTGTTTTATTTTTAGTCTCAATTTTGTTCATTTTCCATCTTTCCTATCCAAAGTTCTTTAAATTATTTTTTAAACATTTTGTCAGTATCCTGTGTTTTTTGTACATGAGCAACTTTAGTTCTTTTGTATACTTTAAGACCTAAGAAAAACTACCTTTGGGTGTCTGAAATATTTTCCAAGGGATTTCCATTTTGAGCATCTTAGTATTTGACAGCTGTATGTAAATGATTAGTAGAAATGATTATAAGTATGCTGAATTGAATATGAAAAATACATTGCATGAAAATGTTTTATTTTTATAATACTATAAGTATAGAAGGTTACTATACATCTTAGTGTATAATAGCGCAGGATGAAAAAAGTGTGACTTTGGATACAGGGCAATCCTATATTCCGATACGGGCTCCACCACATTCTTAATGGGTAGAGTTGTCCTTGGACAAGCAACTGCTTAACTCTCTGAGTGTCAGTTGCCTTCTCTGTAAAATCAGAATAATAGGTAAAGTATCTGGCACTACAAATTGTAGCTAGGAGAGGAGTTAGCTGCTGTCATATATTTTATATTCTTTCTCGGTTTGTAGGAAATGCTACAGAATAATTGCTCTCCCCATGGTTCTTTCCTTCACAGTTAAATAGCTATAAAAAATATCCTTCTTCTCTCTCTGTCATGAGCAATTGTCCTGGATTGAAATGCTAGTTCATGAACTGAAGAGAGACCTATGGTTTGATTTCCCATATTTGAGCTATTCTCTGTTCACAGTGATTCGTCTTACCTCTGTGCTGTAAAGTCCTTTGATACTCTGGGACATTCAGTCCTAGCCTTTACAAGTCTTATTTTGTAAATTGTTAATAGCATATATTTTTTAGTCAAGAAGTTTTATTATGCTACTAAGCATGGTTTGAGGAGTATGGTGAATTGACGTCAAATTTTATTTCAATCAGTGAAGTTTACTTAAAAAAAATCTTTAAAACCATTTGATATTTGAGGATGTTTTGGAGTGACACCTAGCTAAATTAGCCTAAATTACTTCCTCAAAATCCAGGATCCATTATGCCTGGCTTCTTATTAGTAATGTGGATAGCACTTTATTTAGAACAACATAATTTTACAGGAGACTTGTTTCTAAATAGTCACTATGGACTCCTCAGCTTAGATACTAATTCTCTGAACTCATCTGAGTGTGATTGCCTATGTGTTAACGTGGGTAGTTAAGCAACAAATTTGTCATAAAGTTAAAAACTGTTATTTCCATGTCAAATGGAGAAATACATAAATCATATAATTACATGCATATGTGAGAAAGAAAACAAATGAACATATTACAAATAAAACAAAAATAAACTTTTAGACTATAATACCCAATTAGTGATTACCCAAGGTAAAGGGGAAAGGGAGTGGATAAATTGGGTAAAAGAGGTCAATTGTATGATGGATAGAAGTGGACTTTTAGTGGGGAATTTAAAGTAGAATATACAGATATTGATTTGTAATGATGCACACCTGAAACTATATAATGCTATAATGCAGTTACTTCAATAAAAAAATATTTAAAATATTGTAGCCATGAAATAATAAGACATCCTAGCAAGACACTATCATTAAAGAAATGCTTTGACTGTCCATTAAAAAAATGAAAAATTAACTTTCCTTTTTCTTTAAAATGCAAGTGCTTAGTCATATGTTTTCTTTTTATAGTTATGTGAAACTTTTCTGTGGGTTTTAACTTGGTGAGGTAAGAAACTGAGTCATTAGAGGTTTTTTGTTTTGCTTTTTCTATGGTACTTAGAAGATAATATGTTTAATATTCCTCATTTCCTATTTCCAGGTGTTTAAATACCCCTGTAAGGGTATTTGGTCCCTTAGATATTATATAGTATTTTGTGATGTGTGTGTATTTGATTTAGAAGTTTTCTTATAATCAAACAATGTGAATTTTTTTTCTTTTTCTCATCTTCTGATCAGGATTTCTGGCAGGTACTGATTCAGCAGCATGTGCCTTAAATAACTAATGTTCCATAATACATAGAAATGCTTCAGGGACAAAGGTTCAGTGCATGCTCATGTCCTTCCTTTGCTCCCGTAAGAATGATTCAGTTCCTGTCACTTAAATTAACATACTTTATCTTTAATATGACAATTTGAAAACTGCACAAGTCCTTGAGAATATAGTACCCACCAATATTTAAAAGGAAGTTTTAGTATTATGTGTCATGCAAAATAAACTTTTTTAATCGCTATATTGTATAAAGGATAGTTAGTTAATTGGGTCATTTAAATAGTATTATTTGGGATGTCACATTACTTGTTGAACTGTAACAGCAACGGTGAAACAACAGTAACTTCAAGTGAATAACAACCTTTTTTTCTTAATAAATTTCTTAATAAATACATTTAGGCAATTATTTGGTTGCACTTTGTTCAATAAAATGACTAAAGGGGAAAGGAGAACATTTAGAAAGATTGTAGGTAGGCAAAGGAGAATTTCAAGGGCACATCTAAGAAGTACTTTTTAAATTCAAAGGCTTAAATTAGTACTGCTTTTACATTTCCTAATAAAAATATAAATTAGAAAGCTATAAGATGAGGAAACATCTTTTTATTGAAAATAATTAATGACATTTAATGAAAATCACAGGGTGCACTTTATAGAAATTTTTTTCTGTACTTCCTTGTTTTTTAAATGGGATATATTTTTAGTAGTCTCCTTAGCAAACCCTCAAACCAATCATCCTATTATTGTTACTATAGATTATATTACCTTTGTCTTTAACTGCATTCTGATATAAACCAACAGATACTTAAATAACTTTGTCAAAATAATTCATTTATAATCCAATTATCAGTGTTTCTAAAGCTGGAGATTCTGTTTTGGGATAGTTATAACACAGTGTCATACAGGGTGCTCAGAAAAGTAAATCATATGAGATGATAACACCTGTGACTGAGAAAAACTATTTCCAGTTCCCTAATTATGGCAGGACAATTTGCAGGAGGCAGCCAAAAACTCTTTCTCAACCTTTTAATTGTATGGCTTAAAAATTTAAAATTACCTGCCTT